CCCTCAGCATCCTCCCACCGCCCCCCAGGGGGCGGTACCGCCCCCGTTGAGAACCAATGCTATATGGGCATGGCATCAGCATAGCACTGAATAGCTCCAAGAATTTCAGTTAGCACAAGCAGGTGTGATAGCAGCTTTGAACCGCTTGTCCTATAAATGCAGTGAAGTGGCGGCATTTTGCCTACTCGGGCGCCGTGTTGCTTATTCCACAGGATACTATTGAGCACTGCAGCCACTTGTGATTGAGCAATCCCTTGGAATGGTTATGGTGGGGTACAGTAAAGCTCTATCCAAGATAGCCCAGCTGGCCGGTTGGTGGGTGGACTGCCAGGACCTTTATCCCCTACCCTGCCTCTACCCCACCAACTGGGCAGCTTCTGGACCTAGGTGTACTGGTCTTCTGGTTGCTTGGGCTTTCAGAAGTCCAGGAGGCCCATGGTCAGAAATAGCTCAAGCAACAAGTTACCATCATGCAGTATTTCTACAGTAGTGATCTCTCCCTTAGGCAATTTGAATGTGTTAAAGACTGTGCCCAAGTCTGCCACACCACACTTTTAAGGAGAGGATTGTTGTATTTTCCTACCACTGCTGACACCAAGTGCAAAGGAAAGAGCTGGGGAAGATTGCAATGAAGGGCAGGAAAAGTGGGGAGAGGAGGGAGGGAACAGCTTTTCTCCCTTTCTCTCTTGCCAAGGTGACAGGAAAAGGGGCTGGGGAAAGGAGGAGAGTGGGGCCAGTTTTCTGATTTCACCATTTGCAAAATCTTTAAGAGATGTGGAACTTGCGAAGCAGCAGTAGCATCAGGATCAATACTCCAAATTACAAATACTTTAGTTGGATAAACTGATAGGAAGCAGTCAGGAACCAAGCTCACATTTAAATTCACTATCGCATAATAATGGGACTTTATGGGTAAAAGGGTCAACATATCTTCAGCCATTTTTTTTCCACATGGATCTTGCATGTTCAAGTACTGGAACTAACCATGGAATATAGCATCCCACTGTTTTCCAGGGTAGAATAACTCAAGAGCTGAGGTCTGAAATCTGTTGACTGAAGTAAACAAGTTACAAGAAATGCACAATAATGAATTTGAAATTGCGGAAAATTAAACCTACCTTTCCAGAAGGCAATTATACTTTACAAAGGGAACATCACAAGCAGCATCCCTGTAAGAAGTCACTTAGCTTTAAAGAATGTCAGTAAATTTAAACAAAAATTTAAATTTAAAATATAAATCAGTCTTGGGTTAAAGTAATCTTAATTCCTTTGCTTATATCAAGATACCCCCTCCAAATTATGCCACATTCTAAAAACTTGCATTAAAAGAAAAAGAAAAAAAAGAACTCATAGGGCTCCAGCTAGCTAGCTTATTTTCACAGGTATCACTGTCATTGCAGAGGCAATGCCTTATGTATGTTATACAGGAAAAGCAGTAATGCTTGTGGCCAATAAAATCACCAAAGGACCAGTCGTTGTTATCTGAGCACCTTTCATAACTTCCCCGAGATTATCTCCTCTGTAAAAAGTCTGCAAGGTGAAATTGCTTCCTAAATATTACATTAGCTCCTTTAAAGAAAGATGCGAGATTATGCGCCAGCACTGAAGAAGTAGAAAAGGCATGTGATTATGCTATCCTAACAACTGATGTCATTCTATATTTTTAGTGTCATGTTTAGAAAAGGTGACTGTGAGCCTAACAGAGAGGCCCTGGCATTTTATTTGAAATCTTCAACTGTCTGCTTAGCTGCAAACACTTCAGAACCCAGTAACAACACTGCTGTCTTAATTCAAACGCAACTGGCGATTGGACAATAAATAAAGAAGGTGCATTATACTCCTTACTATTTGGGGAGTTGTCACACAATTTTAATGCTTTACAGCTAGCCTGATTTGCTTTGGCTTTTTTTTTATATATATATATACAGGTATATATATAAATATATCATTACCGTACAGTATGACCAACAGATGACAATATATAATTATGGCCAATAGATGGCGATCTAGTTCCACTTCTGCCTTCAGGAGGGGAAAAAGTCAATACTATATTAAGGATAGGAAACTGATTTTAGGGTGTTGAAAATGATCTGAGTGAAGCATTACTTTCTTCTATTATGGTTGATCTTTGCCGTATTCCCATATGAAATGGACCTTTATAATTAATAATATTCAATACTTTAAATACAAGGTAATATTACAGCTTCAAACTTTACAAAAGAAATCCTACCCTTTATTTGTCACCACCTTTCTCTTAAAAAAAAAAATTGCCATTTTTAAACAGAGTTCAAATACACAAATCCTGAGTTTCATAAATTCATCAAGAAGCACAGAAAATTGCCTGAAGATTGCAAGGGCTCTGAAAAGTCAGGTTTGGGAATGATCCATTTTATCATTTGCATTACACCAGAGTTCATGAACTCATCCACCACCGTCACCTAGAGTGAGATCATGCAAAATCTTTGAAAAGAGACATGGAAGGCCTTTAGAAGATGGGGCATATTCAGCCTGTATACGATACACTTCAATTTGCAAAGTAACCAATAATTCATGGCCCTGACTGGATGCCTTTATCATCCAGACTGCTTACGGTGTGGGAATAGCTAAGGCCTGCTTCGTCTGCAAGTAATAGCTGTTGAGGTTCTTGCCTAATTCTGATGTCCACAAACCATGGATCCTGGAGGCTTGAACATGCAGTTGAAGAGGACTGCTTTTCCATGGAGGGCCTGTCATTTGATGAAGAGCATTCTTGGGTGCACCAGCTCTTTCAATGACTTGCCTTTGGAGAGTAGAGCAGATGCTAGTGAAGTGCAAGCACCCACAACAAATTCATAGGCACAACTGAAAGGCTAGGAGGTTGGACTGGGGAGAATTCTCTTGCTAGACAAGTGTGAAGCAGAACATGTTGAGTGAATTTAAGTCATTCACAGCTAGCACTGGTAAAAGGGTGTGTGTGTGAAGGAGGGATGTTATACCCAAGGAGAAGCCCTGCTCCAAGCCAAGAAGTATTAAGGCAGCAAGTTCCCAGGAAGCAGGCAAGAAATCCTCCATGGTAGTATGACTCTACTGCTTCTCTGCCCATAGATCTCCTGGTATCTCCATTAGATTGCACATTTGAGTGGAAAGGATAAGATGGCTCCTAACGCCAGACCCAAGGAGAGAAAGAAGGCCATGATGGCTCCAGCAGTTTCTGCTTCATGAGTTAGCACTTTCCTAGAAGGAAAAATTTTATCAATTAATTAATTAATTAAATTTCTCACTTGCCCATCTCCCCTCAATGGGGGAAAACTGGTCAGCTCAGCACAGCATCCAGCCATCCAACCATCAGTTGCTTTCCCTTCTTTAAAATTCATTCATCTCAAGCAATACTTACTTGGGTCCAAAGCGCATGCAGAGGCTGGCCAAGTAACCATTGGAGATGGAGAATAGCAACATGAAGATGAAGTACCAGGCATCATGAGCAAAGATGACCGGCAGGTTACGGCGGGGCTGCACATTACACAGCATGAAGAGGGGAATGAAAATCAGACGGACAATCACCATGAAGGGTAGCAGGCGACTCTCCTTTCCAGGCTGTGGGAGATGAAGAATAATATATTATGATATCAACATTAGTCATCACTGTGATAAAAAATGGGGCTGGAAAATTGTATCATAAACAGAACTCCCCAAAATTGGTCCATATGGCTCAAAAGTCTCCTGTGCCCCAGTGAAGCAAACAAATGCTGGTATATATATATTACCAATTCATTGCTGTGGATCAAGTGTAGATTTCTCCTTCCAGTGTTATGAATTAATAATTTTGGCCCACCTCTATGCTCAAAAAGTCCACAATTCTTATTGTCTTGAAGATACAGGGTACAGCCATGATTTTATTTTTAACCCATAATGATAAAACCAGAGCCATACTAATGCTAACCAAGAATGTGGCAATAATAGGACATATTCGTGTTCCACCTCTTGAATTGCACCTTTAGGAGCAAGACAACTGTAAGCAACTCTTAATAAATTTTATATGAGATATCCAATATACGCAAAGTATTTTTTCTTCTGTATTAGCCTCCTTTAAAGATCATAGGAGATTATTTTCACAAGATTTAAAGCAACTCTCCACTAGCCAATCAGGAGAGAACATTCAAGCTTGATATTCAGAGGATGCATAAGTAACTACTTCCTATAAAAACAGATTCCCTTGGCAGGGAATTTTCATTGTACAAATTAAAATTACCTGTTGGGAAAGATTTATCACTTGGAATTTATTTTAGCTTCCATTAGTGATGGGAATAAGGGACTTCAGAATTCAGTTCCTCTATGTACTCATCTTGAACATTATTACTTGATCCATTATTACTTGATCTAACTTGATCTAACTTGATTGGGATCAGTTTGAATCCTGCATCTAATGCCCCAAGATGTATATGGAAAACACTGGGTTGCATATATAATTTTGACACCTTTACCCATGAAAAGCTTACAGTATGAAAGAAGCACAGTTTAAAAATGGCAGATAAATGTTTTACGAGTAAATTGAACTTCTTGTAATATTATTACTTTGGAGCGATTCAATTCTGAGGAAGCCATTTCTAGGTATTTTTCATAATTGAAAAGCTAGTTTGGTTTATCAGAGTACTAGATGGCAGTTTACTCAAGTCAGGCATTTGTTACTTAATCTGTTTTGTCCAAATGAAGGTTCACAGTGGTTGGAAGAATGAATTAGGGCTCTCAGGCCATAAAATACCTTGAGTAGGTGGATAATTCATTAAACTGGTTTTTACATCAACTGGAGATTGTGTTTTTATTTTTGGAATTGTTCACTGACAAGAAGGACTTCATGTACTATACACTTCTTTGTCACAGTGATGTTAACTTTAGGAAATATCTAAACCAGGAGAGCGGAGCCTAATATTTTAAAATTAGGGGGCATTTTTTCACTGATTTCCATGCAATCAATATTTATTTACTTTGATCTCAATCCTTTCGTATTTCTGCCTTAGGAATAACTTTTCTATCTGGAGCGGGGTGGTCTGTGTTTGCCTGTCTGTAGACAGGTAAGTGCAAATGGAGTTTTCTCAGGCTGGGACAACAGCAGAACTGGAAAGGAAGCATCCTGTGGATTAAGATTGTTGGTGGAGGCAACTATTTTGAATGCTTCTCCAGATATTATTCTACAGCTACATGCAAATCAAAACTCTGCATCAAGGAGAGAGGCTGTAGCTCAATATGTTCCCTGTTATTTTGGTTTCTATTTACATGGAGTTCTTCCAAGTAGGTGGGCATTCAAATGAGATCCACCACTTGAGTCAAAGCAATCATTTTACCACGACCTTCCCTTCCCAATTCACTGTGCTACATGCCTCAACCAGAACTCAAGCTTGTTACATGAAGATTTTTTGATTAAAACACTACAGCAGTAATTGCTTGAAAGTGTTGAGAGTTGCTGTTCCTTGATCAGAAAGGGAAACAAGATATATGGCCCGTACAGCTTTGCTTGCTTCTCTAAGTATCAGGAAGCAACAATAAAGAAAAAATAATAATATTCAGAGTGAAAATATGATGAGGGGTTTTCTCTGAAGAAAAACATGAAAGGACACATCTGTTCCATTTATGTGATGTCATTTTTTAACTTTTATTATTATTTTATTAACGATTTATAAGGCCGCCCAACAAACAATGGGACTTTGAGCATTATCCAGCGCATTTAGGCAAGAATATTTTTTTCAACAGTCCTTCTCTTAAATTTTATCATTTTATTACTCTTTGTGAGAAATAATCTAACAGTTCCCTTTGCACAAATACCTCTTTCTCAGATGTGTGCGTGAGTGTGTGAAGAGAAATGTCTGAACACTTTTTGCAATATCAGTATTTATTGTGTTTAGGTTATTGATTTGTTTCTGCTGGTTTTATGTTTCAGGAAGTACTTTTAGTGCAGTATTTAATTCAAACACATCAGAAATCAGTTTGTTCATCACACATTCTTGGGCTCTGGATGGCTACAGAGCTGGGTCTGCCTGCCAAAATACTGTTGGCCACACCCTATAATCATAGAGGCCTTTTAGGAGGAGCTGTCATGGCAGCTGCGTAAAGCTGAGACCAGGGAGCTGGACACTGTGGCTTTCTCATCTTCATTCATTATATACCTCCTTCAGATCTACTTCTTCCAAGCCACAGTCCTCTATATTTGAGCAAACATTACTGATTGAAAGGACAGCTGTTCCTCTGTCCTGGGTCACTGACAGAGACAAAACACTGAGCAATCATTCCACAAAACCAGTAATGAACCAATAGGAAGGGGGGGGGGAAACATCCTAACTGCTGTACGGCCAA